TAGTATACATAGTCCCACATGATGACTGCATATACAGCTTGCTTGTTCATACGCTGCAATATAGTTTTGAGGCGGCAAGGCAGAAAAACATGGCTGTAATTGAACATGATAAATATGAGCTTCCTGCGCGTGTTAGGAGGGCTCGCGGCATCGATTCACCACGATATGTTTCGCTTTTTTTTTTCTCGAATTCGAATCGAAACTTGAAGCTTTTTCAATATGTAAACTCGGCATTGTACAATTTTCTCGCATTGTCCTGTGGCCACCAGTACCACGGCAAGATGGGAATCGCTTCCACCGCCATCATCATCACCACCGTCAAAAAGAACTGCTGCTCCTCTTGAACTACTCCAATCTGCGGCAATGATTAGCAATCATCTCCCATCAAGCGTCGCGGTTCTTCGACTTACCTCTCAATCAGATGCAACCCACTGGCCGTCTCGACGACGCCGCTCATCTCGCCAGGCTTAAGCGCAAAAGCCGCATCCTCAAACTCCTTCTGCATATCCCCACGGCCAAAGTAGCCCAGGTCGCCGCGCTTACGGGCAGACGAGCAATCCGACTCGGTAGGGGCCAAATCGCCAAGAGAAATGGCGCCAGACTTGATTTTTGCTTCGTGGGCCTTGATGATTTCCATAGCGTCGTCCTTGGAGCGTGTAATTTCGGACTATGGCGCCGTTAATAATATTGAACTCTTTTCATGCTCGAGCCATGGACAAAGGATTAATCCATACTTCTCGCCAACTGCTAGGCCGTCTGCTATCCTTGTGCTTCACCAACAAGTGTGCGGCGCGAATCTTGCCGTCAGGAACACCTGGCACCGCGCCGGGCCGCGAGCCGGCGCTGTGGTGGGCTCCCATGTAGTGCTTTAGCTTCTCGGTGTCGGTGCCTTGCGGCGGTTCCCAGCGGGAGACTTTTTCGACAGAGTTGAAGTAGTATGGGAGATTCTTGGAATTGGAGTGGCGCACCTCCCAGTTGGGGGGGAGACCTGTATCAGCCTTCGGAGTTGTTAGCCATGTCTTGCGAGGGAAGAAGAGGGGTAGGAATTGTGGCATGCCATGACGACGGTGAGCGCAGCGCAGCGCAATGCAGCGAGTGCTGCGTCGGTGACGAGCTGCGAGTTTCGGGGGGTGGACGGGGAGTATTCTTGACATACCATGATGGGTGGAGGTAAGAAGATGTGCGGATGCGAAGAATGGGAGAGGGGGAGGTTGCGGTGGCAGAGAGGAGGAGAGAGAGGCAGCTGTCGATGAGGATGATCGGCAGGCTTGGACAAACAATAGGTACACCAAGTATTTATATAAAGATGGGGATGGAGGAGAATGGCAAAGCGTTGCAGCGATGCACTTGTCACGTTTTTGGGTCGCGGATGCAGAGTCGGAATCGGAGTCGGAGTCGAGAGGTGGTCGAGGGCGAGGTGAATAGGACAAGGAGCCGGTCGGTTGGCGATGATGCGCTTTGGACGAGGCAGCTTGAAGAGCTTTCCCCAGGCGACCCGTTGACGGGTTGACGGGCTGACGGGCTGCCGGGGGTGGACGAGGGCAGAAACAGCGGGGTATCTAGTCGGGGCTCAGGGCAGGGAATGACGTGCCCCGATGGGCGAAGACGCGCAGCCAGCCAATGGGGTGCGGTGCAGACACCAGGCCAAGTGACCTCGTCCAGAGCCGTGCTAGCGGTACGTGCTAACATTGAACGGACATGGAGCGCTTGAGGGCGCCTGGGTGCCACCAGACCAGGCATGCCAGCAAGTACTCCGTACCTAGCAGTAGGCACGGGCAATCAATTTCACCAGGCGCCTCCTGGGGCGGCCCCACGTCTCGAGTCTGCTGGACAACAGGGCGGTTGGCTGGTTGGTTGGATGCACGTGTGGCTTCAATGTTCCCGGAGTCCGGGATGGAAATCAAATCTTGACTGCTTAGATTGGCCCTGTTGAATGAGGGGGTTGCGATATTAGTTGTGTGAGTGGAGAGCCTCGTGCCAGACAAGCTTTTAAATGTTTAGTTGCAAGGTGTTTGGCCATTAGCTCTTGCGCCTTGCTTAAAAGACTGGCATCGTTTGACATTGACTGAACCTGCTCCCCCGCGTGAACATGTCGACTGGGACTAGTAGGAGTAGATAGAGTTTGGGCGCCAATATTCAAGCATGTACTCCATACAAGCCACTAATCAAACAGTCCATCACGCGATTCGGCCTCAACCACCGGCGTCCCATTTTAAAAGGGTCACGTTCCAATGTCTATGGAGGTGTTCCGGGTGATGTGTTTATCAATGGCTTCCGTTTTGACAATCCCTCGGATGGTGATGCTACAGATGACCCTACCTCGCCAGGTAGGTAGGTTACCTAGGTACATGCACGTGGGATTGCAGAGTAATGAATGCATCGAGACAATGTCCATTGTATCCCTCCGAATGTGCGCAGGTCCAATTTTCGTAACGGGCCAGGGTTCTAGCCAATAATAAGTAACTAAGATTTTAAAGATACATAAGTATATAAAAATATACTAGTTTATTATACTTGATAATAAAGAATCTTTAAGTATCATGAAAGAAGTGGGTTGAATACATCAACTGGACCTGCGCACATTCAGAGGGATGAGTGTCTGACAACATTCTGTGTGGGACGGGGCTGTTCTGTTCGGTGGGTGTTTTGGGGAAGATCGTAGCAGTGACCCTGCTTCAATCGTGAACTGAGACTCTTGGCTGTGCATAGATGTGATAGTCGACGGCCAGGGTCTGATTTGTCTTCGTTCTTGGGTGAGATGATCAATGAATGACTGGCCAACATTGTTGATCTGACCAAGTCACTGAGTACCCAATGCATGATGACTCCGAGTCCATCGACAACAAGCATTCAGCCGCCTGGGAATGAACGTAGTACTCGGGACCACAGACAAGGTCCAGATCATGCTGGACAACGACGCCACCCGCTTAAAATATGGAAAAGGCCAGGCGACTGACTGAAGAGTCGCAAGACACCTCTTGTGAATAGTCATCTGCATTCCACGTTGAAGTGACCAAGTGCGGGCCCAGATTCCGTCAACATTGAATACTCCTCTTGGTAATTACATAATGCGTGGCGTATCTCTGCCTGCTGGCTTGCCCCACTATTCGTCCAGGCCACCCACTTGCCCTCAAACTCGCCTCGCTTTGCCCAACCACCACAAAAGGGCCTTGCCTCCCATTCATCAACGCGTCTTGTTGTGTTGCTTCTTCATCAACACAGGCCATCTTCGACCGCTGCTCATTTCGCAGAGCCAAGGGCGCCGTCGCTGTCTCTACAAAGGTTTCGGCCCGGCCATTCAACGACGCAGTTCGCCACGCTTGTCGATCCCATCCACCGCTGTCGGAGAAGCTGTCCAGATCCAATCCAACCCAACATCATTCAGCAAATTTCTATCTTTAGATAAACACATACGCTGTAGCAATGGCCACTCCCCAGTCGACAACCTCATACGAAGACTCCGGCTCCAAGAAGCTCGAGCAGATTACCTTTCGATTCTGTTCAGAATGCTCCAACATGTTATACCCCAAGGAAGATGAAGACGCGCACAAATTGCAATTCACCTGCCGAACGTGCCAGTACACTGAAGAAGCCCAGTCTACCTGTGTGTTCCGCAATGTCCTGAATAACTCTGCTGGCGAAACTGCCGGTGTGACCCAGGATGTTGGATCTGATCCAACGGTTAGTCATGTCCCGCGTGTCATCTGCTTATATTGTGGCTGCCCTGTTTTTTGCTATATCTGTGGGGATTTGGCAGCAGATATGACTGCACCTCGACGGGAGGAAGAGAAGGATGATGAGGCAGAGATGGAATGGACCAGCCTGAGCCAATTCGTCCCATTGGACGGTTACGATGACCCTTTTGCCGAGTACGACGAAGAACTCATGGACGAAGCCGAGGACGAAGTCTACACCCCCACCTCGTCTGATTTCAGTTCTGTTGCGAATTCGGAGTCAGGTCTCTCAGACTACCGCGTCAGGACCATTACGTGTTGATTTGGGGTCAAGATCAAGTTATGAACTTCTGCAATACGTGCAACATTTACCAACGTCAAACGGCATCGCTCACGTCGATATCAGTATATTCATTACCGGGACTGGCAACAGGGCAGGCGAGTCTTTATTGTGGTGCAAGCGTAGCTAGGAGTTGCGGCGGATGCGCGTGTCCTTTTTTTGTTGGAACTCGTTTATCTTGCTTTGAACTTGCTGGCTGACACGAGTTTTGCTTTTCCTTCTTGGCCACAGCTCCCACGGTCGAACAAGACGTGCCCCAGGTGCAACCACGAAGAGGCCGTGTTTTTCCAATCTCAGGAGCGAAGTGCCGAAACTGGCATGGTAAGCCATCCAACAATCCAGTTAATGCTCTTTTGAGTCATGATTGAGTCTCAAATTTGTGGGGTTTTATGTGCAGCTTGCTAACTTGGCTGGACGGGAAGAAATTGTTTTATGTCTGCTGCGAATGCGGCCATATCTTCGACTAATAGTCATTACGAGTCATGATACCTCCCCAATATCCAGACCGGGTTTATGTTACTACATAGGTGGATAGATGGGAAAGAAGGATGGGATTGGTTTGATTTGCATTAGATTTGATTATGGGCGTTTCAGGACAAAGAAAACGGCGCATTGTTTACTAGAGCTACTGTACATGTTTTTGTTCATGCAAAACTGGGCATGACCATTGGAGCAAAGTCAGTAGGAGGTGGAGGATTGTAGGTTGACAATGCAATTACATTGCTACAAAGTCAAATTAATATTCACAGTGTGATGAAGTGAAGTTTAGTGGCCAGTCCATGGTCATTAATGTACATTTACATGTTATGAGATTGGAATTAAGCTTCTTGCTCTAGTCTAAACGCCTCGCAAATGCCAAATATAATTGTACAACGTATCCCGTCCTATGAGGGTTTCATCCTTTTGACCTCCTTTCAGATACCCTTTAACTGATCTTCATCGCCTGTTCCTCTCTTTGCTCAAAGCAAATGCCAACATTGCCTCCCTTATGCTTGCATAGGCGCCATGGACAAAATCTTGCTCCACTTCTTCCTCTTCAACTCTGCGCCAACGACACCATTGATTCGTGATCCCACCGGATCGCCAGACTTGTTGAGCAAGACGCACGCATTGTCGTCGAAGCGGACCACGGATCCGTCACGTCGCTGAGTAGGGTATTTGGTTCGCACTACAACGGCGTGTCGAATATCGCCGCGTTTGACCTTGGCGGCGGCTGAGATGCCCGCCATACCAGAGGACGAAGCACCTCTTTGTTCCTGGACGACAACGACGATCCGGTCACCTGTACCAGTTAGACCTTGTTTTTGTGTCCCCCTTGACCCGGCGCTCGGAGAGCATGGCAGCGACGTACCTATGCGAGCATGCCGCTTTTGACCGACGACCAGGGCGCATTCGACGAGGGCGGCGCCCGAGTTGTCGATGCAGTTAAGCATCGTCTATTTTCCATTAGAACACACGCATAGAATAGATCATTGTCTTCCGACATACCTTTAATTGAATCATTTTGGCCTTATCCGCGCAAACTTCAATGCTGCATCATCTCCTCAGCCAGATCCCAGTCTTTCAGCTTTCGGCTTCGGGAGACTTTTCGGAAAATGACAGTCACGTGCACCTGGCGCCACGTTTCCCCAAGAAAGGCAGGCACCCCCCTGCATTTCGAGCTCCTGCGCATGTACCTCCTGCGGTTGCTGGGCCAAAGTCATTTTATGGGGGGGCTGGGCGGGCCTACATAGCGCAGGGGGCACATCAGAGGGGGGCTTGGAAGGAAAGCCGCAATTTGGAATGGCTCAAGCTCACCGGCAGGACTCAACACAACTTCACTCCTTCGAGTTTGATCATGTATGAACCTGCCGGGTCCGTGGTCGCGTGTCTCTGAAGCAGGGAGCTCTCATTTCTGAACATACCGTCTCTCACTAATCACTCTCCTTTTCCGATATTTCCTTCCGTTGTCCACATGGTCTGCCGGCTTTGAGTGCGAGGTGTACACTTGGTTTGAGACGGGTTGAGTATGACATTTTTGAGGAAGGAGCGGGCTGCGAGCTGAAACTTGGTCATTTTGCCCGGTCGACTGCGGCTATCCGGCTGGGGGTGAGATAAGCGCAAAGCGGCATTTTCACCTACGGCTCAGGTGTCTGTCAAGTTCAGCTGAGGGCGAGGCTTATTTGGACAGGTTTCTGGCCCAGTGGACTTGGGATCTTGCCACGCTTCCGGATCGCGGGGGGGCGCAACGCTTTCACAGAGTGTTATTGGCAACGATGCCAGCGCCAAAGGCTGCGCCGGCGAGGCATCGCCTCACTTTGGCACAATTATCTGCCTACGATGACATCTTGACGGATGCACTGGTCGACCATGTCAGTGATTCTGCGGTCTGGTGAACGGGACCCTCGGGGACTCAAAGAACTAACGGTGCGTATACAGGTCTATTACTGGACGACGGTCCCCAAGAATCGCCCGTCATATCACCCCTCGCGGGGTCTGTCGGAGAACGCCATTGCGAAGATTATTCAGGACGAGTTGGTCCTGTGGAAAGACTTGGCGGCGGCAGAGGAGAAGCTGCTTTCAATGGATGGACTGAGGAAGTTCATGAACAAATTGAAGACAGACAGGGAAAAGGACGACTTCAAGCGACACCTGCGACGGTACTTGCAGATTTACCTGCCGGATTGCCCTTGGGAGGTCAGCTCCACTAACCGATATACGATTGTCTCGCATGAAGCAAGTATCACGGCAAGGCGGTACATTAAACGTAATGAATCGATCAAGTACCTGTCGGGTATTCAGGTTGTCATCACGCCCGAGGAAGAGACGGAGATTGCGGCACGGAAGAAGGATTTCAGCATGGTCATTAGCTCGAGGAGTAAGAGCACAAGCCTGTTCATGGGTCCCGCGCGATTTGCAAACCACGACTGTAATGCGAATGCCAAATTGATGACGACTAGCAACGCTGGCATTGAGATTGTTGCTATACGTCCGATTGAATCGGGCGAAGAGATTACTGTCACGTATGGAGAAAGCTATTTTGGCGAGGACAACTGCGAGTGTCTATGCGGCACATGCGAGAAGGGACTAAGGAACGGTTGGGAGCCTGAGGAAGGCGCCGTAAGTCTTCAGACAAGTGCGGAAGAAGACAGGCCCGAGACGTATGCTCTGCGGCGACGTCGACGGGAGGATAGCGTTGGTGGATCTCGAACTCCCTCCGTTACACCTGGAATTCGTCCGCGCGTTCCAAGAACCAAGGCAAAGAGCTCACGGCTCAGTAATGCTCACGGTTCGTCCGCCGCGGTGTCGCCGGCGCCTGGCTCACCAGTCGGCCGAAAACGAAAGGCTGATACCATGGCAACGCCGCCCATCACACCGGCAAAGAAGCCCAAACACACGATTGAACAAGAGCTCCGTCCTGCGGCTTCAAGAGGAAGTTCTGTAAGCGAGAGTATATTGTCAAGTAATGGGGAGGCTATTGAGACAGATGTCACATCGCCCGAGAAGGACAGTCCTGAGCCCGTGCCTGAGACGCCAATCAGGTTGTTGGCAAATCGGCTGAAGGGGAGCGCCGACCAAAAAGAAGACCACACCATTACAGCCATTGCACCCTTTTCCCCTGAGAGCATACAGAGTCAACAGTCACCACAATCCACCAAGGACGGCGACACGAACGAATCATCCGCGACGTTGAAACCAGAACTCAGCGCCATGTCAATATCGGCTATTCTAAACGCACCTAGCAGCTCTGAGCCGGAGGTTACGGCTCCTATTTCCGCGAGCATAGAGGCAGTTGATATGTCCCAAATAGCCACAAACGTTGACGAAGAAGAGCAGCCTCGGCCCAAGAGCAGACGACGCAGTTTTAGTAAGCAGGCTTCACCCCCAGCCAAGGTGCGCAGACCTGGTGATTACGTTCTCACGCCATTACTTCTTTCTGAGCCGGAAATGGCATGGATTCAATGCACAGTCTGCAACGCATACTTTGTACAGCAAAACGCTTACTACACGCGGTCGGCGTGCCCCCGCTGCGAACGACATTCCAAGTTGTACGGATACATCTGGCCCAAGACTGAAAAGGCAGGGCCCTCGGATAAGGAGGAGCGGATCCTGGATCATAGGATTGTGCATAGATTCCTAGACACGAATGACGAGCGCAAAGCTCGAGGCAGAAAGTGTTTGCCGGAGAGGGAGGAGACAGAAGAGCCGAGTGAGCCCGAGAGGGGTCGGAGATTACTGCGTGCACCAATCAAGAAGGAGAAGTCTAGCGACGAAGTTCAAGACTCGGTGACGGTCAAACTTATCGAAGAGTCGGGACTTAGGCGAAGCGGGAGACCCAGAAAGTGTAGGTGCGGGTAGGACTTAGTGCATAGCAAATGGGATGACAATTGTCATGGGGTGTTTTGCACCACCACGAAGGGGTCCGGAGTTTATGGATTCATTCTGTATCATACGCTTCAAGGCAGGATAGATTAGCATTTGGCGATTGCGGGTGATGACTGTTGCCTTTTGAGCTGGAATGTATGGATTTTGCATGCGCCCGATTAATATCTGCAATACAGATAACACCGTGTGTGGTTCTTGATATGTGAAGTTGCATCAACAAGCACTTGAGCAAAAAGGCAAAAAGAGCATGTTGGAAAGAAGCTCATGGGTCGTGGCTAGCGGGGGTTTACCGTAACGGTAATGTTGAAATTAACTTTAATTTACAATGCTCCATTCGTATGTAGGGAGGGAGACTCTTCTCTCTAGGACTCCACCAGCCGGGCCACTACCGCAGTCCAAAAGATAACTGGATAGCTCGGACCTGGCCACATGGGCTCATGTGAAAACGGCACGCGCCGTACATGTGCATGCAGTCTGCGGCAGAATATAGTTAATGGCCCGCCAAGATGTACACACTAGTATACTCAGTGCTATAATATAAGTACTATAGTATAGAGCGCGATGGCAAGTACCTGATGCGTTTAAATACCTTGTACCTCCCACCGACCGTCTTTTCCTCATAGCACCTTCCTCCCTCCTCGTAGGACCTCACTTGTCAGGGCTCCGCAAATCAGGTCAAGCAAATAGCAATGGTATGTTTCGTTGGCATTGCCGCAGTATCCATCCACGGAGACTGATGAATTCGCAGAGTCTGAAGCGCATTCTGGTCCTGGGCGGCGCACCGGCCGTGCTCGGTGCGGCATGCAGCAAGGATTACACTCGCAACGGGCTGGTCTGGGGAGACGCCATCCGGCTGAACCAAATTCAAGTCGTCGGCACGCACAACAGCTACCACGTCGAGGCGCCAGACGAGGAGAAGGCCCTGATGCTCAACCTCAGCGCTGACACCCAGGACCTGTTTTACGGACACCCTCCGCTGGAAACGCAGCTTCAGGAACAACATGTGCGAAACCTGGAGTGAGTCCCCCGCCTCATCCTGCGTTGCGTGGGTGTATATACTTGCCGAGGGCTGACAGACAATATATAGACTGGACGTCCTGGCTGATCCCGAGGGCGGCAACTACGCAAAACCACTCATCAGGGCGTTCGCCGGGCTGCCCTATAACACGGGGCCCGAGTTCCAAACGCCCTCGACCAAGGTCTTGCACATTCCCGATCTCGATATCAACACCGTCTGCACGACATTCACGGCCTGCCTCCGCGTCATCAAGTCCTTTTTGGACGCCAATCCGTGGGCGGTGCCCATCCCCATCATGACCGAGTTCAAGACGGCCATGGCCCTGGGGCAGTCGCAAGGCGGCGCCAAAGTCATTCCCTGGGACAATGCCACGCTGCTGGACGGGCTGGACGCCGAGATCCGCTCCGTCTTCACAAGCAGGCAGCTCATCACGCCGGACGACATTCGCCGGCCCGGCATGACGCTCGAGGAGTCTGTCCTCAAGTACGGCTGGCCGGATCTGGATTCAGCAAGAGGCAGGGTCTTGTTCCTCATGGACAACGGGCCCGAAGACCCCGTCAACGAAAAGTACATCGAGGGAAGGCCAAACTTGGAAGGCAGAGTATTGTTTACGAATTCCGCACCGGGGAGGGCAGACTGCGCTTTTCAAAAGGTAAATTGATCTTTTTTTTTCCTTTTCTTGTCTCTACGGGGCAGCCCTTTTTTTTTTGATAGTCCGAATATGTACCTGACTGGTGACAGCTGAACGATCCCGTGACGGATGCGTACATCCAGAATGTGCAGGAGCAGGTCAAGGCGAACTACCTGGTGCGAGCACTGGCCGATTCGGCGCTGAGCACGGTGCGAGACTGCAGCACGATCCAGCGCGACGGGGCGTTCAAGTCCGGCGCGCACATTGTTTCTACGGATTTCCCGGTGGCGGGCATGAGCGAGCGGTACGGCGGGTGCGAGTATGTCGTTGAGCTTGGGGACGGCAAGGTGGCACGGTGTAATCCTGTCAACGGGCCGAGAGGGTGCGTTGACGAGGAGCTGGAGTGAGGGCTTGTTCCTGGCATAGACGTGTATATATAGCAGGGCACTCCGTACCTAGGTATCATATAATTCTTTGCGTGTTTTGTCCCTTACATGCTTGGCTTTTCGGGCACATGCTCTTATGGGTGTGTATATCCTACGAGAGGTAGGGACCTGCGGGAAGACGAGTCGTAAGTTGGAAACACAACTGATAAGACGAGATTCTGGATCTTGCGTAAGCCAGGTCGTAGCTAGTACGGTGATCAGCGGGCTTCTGGGGTCCGAGGACTATATCCACTGATGGGCGAAAATATTCCCAGCCAGTCCCCTTTTCTTTTATCTCTCTTGATGTACATACTCGGCTTCTCAGTAATTAGCGAGGCGGCGTTGCTCCAAAACTCAGCCTGGTCCGAGGATTCCATGAGCCGCTTTTTTCTGTGACATGGCTTAATGAGTTATCCGTAATTATTCCTGCTATTTTCTACTCGGCAAGGATGGGTGGCTAAACTGGTTGGTTATCTTGAGTAGCTATGTAATTTTTGTATCGGGTAGCTCATCGACCACGAAGAGAGGAAATGTCGTCGCGTGGCATCGCCAAGCGTGCAGAAACATCAGGTGCTGATTTCTCTTCATCGGCCGCTTTTTTATGACCATCATGACTTCCTAGTACCAAGAGACGGTGAAATAGAAAGGCCAGACGATACTGTTAACCGATGAAACAGGTCAACGGCCAATTCGGTCTACGAAACCAGCTCGTTGCAGCGGGACGTGAAAATCCAACTGTTTCCCTTTCCATCTGGAATTATTTGACGATATAAGACATTTATTTAGGGCCAATGACGCACTTGTCCTTGTCACAACCATGTTTGCCTCCACCTATGATGGTGTTGATCATGTCAGCCGGAACGAATTTCGCCCCGGTGGTAATATCACTTGCCAGCAAGACACTGGGCTCAAAGTTGAGATTTCCAAGAACCTATTCCCTGATAGGCTTGATTCATTTCTGGAAATTTCTCAGTAGTGTTTCCAGGGCGTAAGCGGCTTCGTGCTCGTACTTTTACGACAAACAGCACCATGGAGTACGCGATTGTGAGGTCACCATACAAGATGTGCAGTTGACCAAATCACCAATCGGTTGCATAATTGTCTCCAACGCGTAAGCTTCTTCACTGGATTTTTCCAACAACCAAACGCCTTTGAATTCTCGTCTGAATGCAGCAGCCTACATGATTGTCCCATGCTTGCTCACCCATAGCTCAGACATGTCCACGACACAAAGCCCATCGAGTACAATAAATAAATGAATTCTTTGTCACTTAATTAGAGATGAGCCGAATAGGGCACGAACCAGCTGGGCTGTGTCAGCACACAAGCGCTTAAACTACATAATGCATACCTAGGGAAATTTTCCTAGAAAATTACTTGGGCTTATGGAGTTCTCCTCTCCTCCCTCCTACCCGACAGGTTATGCAAGACAGACTTGAACAAAAGTCTTCGAACACATCATCAAACTAATTCTACTCATCGGTTTGCCGCTTCAAATAAGACTATCCTAGAACCATTTGGCTTGGTAGCTATACTTCAAACAGGGAGGAGTCACGATGATCAAATTCTGGACCATTACTGCATCTGCGGACCTCCGTCAAGAACGCCAACATTCCGCTTGGCCTCAAGTGCTCGCTCTTGAGATAACTTAGAAGGCTGTCGAGAGCTGCGCCAAAGACCGATTCAGCGTATCAGCAGTCGTGGTTGGCCATGGTGGTGTTTTGCTCCCGGCGGACATCTTGATGAAGCTTGCGCGGTGGCAGCGCTCGAGCAAGTATCACCTCATCTGAAGTAATAAATGGTAGCAATTTCACATGACTACTATGTATTGTCTTGGGTTTCTATTTTGCAACTAGACCTACCGAATCCGACAACATGGTCGGCCAACGTCACCTCGCAGCCCGTCAAGGCCATTCCTTTAACTAGGTCTCGTACGGCAGCATCAATCCAACGACCCGGCTATATCTATCAGTAGCTTGCTCCGAACCTTCTGGCTTCAGTCTTGTTCAATTCAACAAGCACGGCAGTCTTCTTCAACCACCGCGTCACAACCCTTCGGCCCGGCTCGGCCCGGCCCGAGGGCCAACGCGACGATGGCCATCGATAGGCTAGATCGCAACAAGAGCAGCAGCGGCTTCAACAGCTCCATCGCAAGGATGAACAACGACGAACCTGCGGTATCTGCCGGGAGTCCTTCCAGTCAAGAAATCACGTCTCCCAGCATCTCTGACAACTACGTTGGCATCCCTAGTAGTAGCTCCCAATGACAGCCTGGGCATCGAGTCGTGGGGTTATAACGAGCTCGGTCAGATAATAGCCAGGGATAACTATTTCTCTCCCTGCCGGCGCCACCTGTTGTTCCCGGGAATTGGGTAATTGGGCTGTACGCGGTGGCTGCCCGCAGCTAGGAAGCCGGATTTGACCCCTTTTTCTAGAGCTTCTAGGCCAGCATTAGCTAGGAAGAATAGCGCACAGATGACACGAAAAGTCCCTTCCAGGTCGCAACAAATCTAAGCACAGGGGTATTTTTTTATGCAACAAGGCTGCTAATCATCCGGACTGTCACTTTTCGCCTCGAAGGGAGGGCAAACTCGCCAAACCCAGTGCGTTGCATAACAAGACATGGTAGGCGTATCCTTGTAGGCAGTAATATTAGTCCAAGCGACCGTATTTCCTCGATATGCATTTCTGACCTGCTTGGAGAAGAGTCATGTTCACACAAGGAGGCCAACAATCCAGAACATGGCAGGCATGCTAGCTGAAAAGGAAAAAGATGGTCTTTGCGAAGGACGCTGTTGGCATTGCCGCCGGGACTACTTACTCATGCCAGCCTGCCATCCATCCATGCAGTCAAGACCATCACGAAGGTGACATGACTTAGTTGCGGCCTCGGCTGCCATGCTATCTGCGGACACATACATCAGAGTTGCGTGATGTTGTTGAGCAGCACCAGTTCGCATCCGGGTTCCAGGAGGCCTGCAATGGCGGTCTGTCCGGGATTGATGACTTGTCTGAACGAGCCGGAGAGTCGGTAGGCGCAAACTACCGATGCGTCCCAGCACGCACCATCAGACGCGCTCCACGCCCCCATACATGCAGACAGACGGACTTGGAACTTGGCGCGCGATCCGCTCTCCGAACCACGGCGCGGTATCAGCCAACGCTGTGGAACGTCCCTGCATGAAGTGAAGCATGGCCGACCAAACAGCCTCATTTCAAGGGTGTGCACCGTAGAAGCCGAGAGAGAGAGCCAGGCGGGCCTCGCTCGGGTCCAAAGTAACCTTAATTTTATTGCTGTTTCTCCTGCCGTGTCTTGGACCTGGCTGGGACCGGTATTTTGACAACGGTTGGGAATGGATCGGCCGGGCGAATGGATGACAGTTATTTCCAGTCATGGCTGTTGGTCAGGCAGGCGTGTGCAACCCGCGTATGATCAACACGTGACGATTTGGACTGCGAGGCGATTGACAGAAGTGCTCAGCCAAGCTGCCAAGACGGAATGAAAAAGATGGCACACTAGCGCTGGCGATGGTGACGCAGGATTTGACGGGACAATCAGGCACAGGATGTGCAGAACGACAGTGCGCAGTCACACTCGCTTTTCCCTGGGACATTGATGGACCAGACGGCCTTGGCAGCATCGGCGGACAAGTCGTTGTTGTCGTGGACGGGCCGCGTAAGTCGTCGACTTTGTGCAAATGGCGATGGCCGTGCAAGCAAATGCACTCGATTGGACAACAACAATCCCCACAGCGGCGTGGTCAGCTCAAGGGAAGGCGGCTGCGAGGATTGGCTGCTGGCGCCGCAGGTTCCGAAAAATCCTTGCGCTTGGCCCAAGTAGTTTTCTTGGCACCAGCCACGGCTTTGGAGAAGTGTGCCGGAGTCCGGTTTTGCATCGTCGCGCACTCTGTCTTGGGCAGGTACAACCAGCAGACATGGCAGGTAGGGCTGGTTGGTAGTGCCTCTCACCTGCCGCATGTGCTGGAGAGAGAAGCGCGGCAGGTGCCATCGACATCTAGATTCTATTCATGTACGTAATCGGTAGTGCGTATGTACAGATGCTGTACAGGGGCATGAGAGCCACAGTGCTTGCATGTTCAGTGTTGAGCTTGCAGTCGCGGCGACTTGATCAAGGCCGACGGGGTTTAGGAGGCAGACGAGCATAACACAACGTCGACTTTTGTTGCCGATGGCCGTGGTACAGTGGTGACGTCGGCCGATACCACAGGGGCGCCAGGAGCCATGTTCGCCTCGGTACCCGCACGCCACCTGCACAACCCGTAAACATGGAGCACAGCGTCGCCAAACGTCCCACAAAGTCGAGAGATGTCGCGTGCTCACGAGCTACGACGTGCAAGGCTTCACCAGCCCGCCGCACCTCGACACCCACACACCATCAACTATGTACGTGTAATCTCTGCCACCTGTCCCCCTAGCCTCTTGGCATGCGCCTCGTCTCTCGACAAGCTCAAGAGAAGGGGGCCGAAGGGGGCCAATGGGGGAGCCGCCATGGCGGACCGAACTACGGGCACGGGCAGACATTCCAGCAACTCTGGCAACACCAGACTGTTTTACCCAGAAACGGGCGTCATAGCAGTCTGCGACGGTTGAGACACTACAAGATTATATGAACACGGGGCTGGTGTTGACCATGGAGCGATTCCACTGCCGGCCCACGATGTGGGATGCTGGGGACGGGAAGGCTGTGCAAAGCGTATCGGAGGCTCTGCGGATCTAGGCAAAGATGAAGCACACTGGATTGTATCCCTCCCCTTGCAGTTGCATCAGACACAAGAGTAGACACGACCCGGGCATAGTCGCGGTTGGAGATGCGGTGGAGGCATAAGGGGGACTGGAACAAGGACAGCGAACGAAGAGGGGGAGGGGGGTGAGTTCTCCAAGGGCTTCCCCGTATTTACATTACAACGCTGAATGATGTTGGGTTGACTTGAGACGGTGAAAACCGTGGAGACGTGTTTGCCAGCTTTTGACTGAGGAGCCACAACAAGTTGCTGGCGGCGATGCGACCAGACCGGGCTTGCAGCCTTGCACCATGAACGGATCACGGCGACGGCGGCCGGACTTTTCGCACCAGTCCCTAGCCAAGACGGCGTCCTGCAGTCCGCAAAACTGACAACTTGGCGCACCAGACGGCGTCAAGCCGCCTCGCTCGGGGATGTGTACGTAGCAAGCCTGTGGCCATCTGGTGACGTTGGCAACGCAGCTCCCTGACTTGACTTTTGCCTTGGCTTTTTGCACTGCTCTCCGTTTCTCGTTTTTCTCCTCCTCCACCTCGTCGACTTCTTCCTCTTCACAATTACGCAATTGAGCCATTTTACGGTGTAGGTTGTCAACAGACATCGACGCTTCTCCATCTCCCCCGCCTCTGCTGCACAATACGTGCCCACGTCAGTCAACTCAACTAATACTTGACGTGTGGCCAGCCAGCCAACCAAGCCACCGTCTCCTTTCGGCAGTCGACACTTGACACCGCCTCACCCCAAGCTGCGTCAGGTAGCACGTGTACAGCCTGTCACGGTTGGAACGGCAATTCATCCAAGCTCTCCAAGCTCGACGGAGTTTTTTTTCTTCTTTTCGTTGGGTGCCGCCAGTATTCGTAACATGCCATAGGGAGAAGAATAAATCATTGTTTCTCATCATGGCCGGTTCTCAAGCTTTCGACGATACGCCCGAGGGAGGATGGAAGGCGGCGCATGGAATTCCAGTGCCCGACTTTGTCGAGCCCGTTGTAAGTTACCAAGTTCCACCAAACAAGAACTCCAGACCGATTCTGCAATTGCCTCGTCGTCTCTGAGCTCTTTAGCAGCGCATTGCCTTTTGCTGCGACCGCTTGCCTGTATTCATCGTCTGCAGTTCCGTGGCTGACTTGGAATCTCTGGTTGTTGCGCCTCTGTCTAGCTTACCGTCGCTGTGCTCCTCCTGGCTATGTTCTTTACCCGCAGGAAGAACTACTCTCTTTTCAAACCAAGGGATCGATACCAGCCGCTCCCCGACGAGGAATCACCCAGGAGTTCTGACGAGTTCAGCCATCTCCTGTTTCGCAGGCAAAGCGACCAGTACCCTCCCAAGTACCGCTCCTGCGGCAGCTGCCTGCGCTTCACGACGCCCAACTCGAACCGCTTCGCCACAAACTTTCACTCTCGCGTCCTGCAAAAGTTTCCCTTCTTGATTGAAATGTTCTACTGGGGCGTGAGCTTCGGCGCGTACCGCTACACCAAGGTCCTCGCCCAGGCGACCTATGGCGGCCGGAAGGGCATGTGGGATTCGGCCCAGCAGCACGGCCTGTCCATCCTGAATTTCGAGGCCTTGCTGTGGGGAGGAGATCGACAGGCCCCCGAAAAGTGGCTCGAATGGCAGATCCAGCGTTGGTTCCTACGCGGGGCCGAGACGGGCGATTACCGAGCGTGGGTTCTGTCCTTTCTGAATCGTGGTTACGCCCTTGTACATTTGCCGGGCACCGTTTCGTTCCTTGCCTACTACTACACCACGGCGTCGACGCACGCTCGATTCTGCACTGTCCGTCGCACCATGACCCTGACCAACTTCCTCGCCTTCATCATCTTCATCCTCGTCCCCACCATGCCGCCGCGACTGTTGCCCAAGGAGTACGGATTCGTCGACTCGGTCAGCCTGGAGGATGCCGAGTCTGTCTGGATGGGCGGCGACTTTGTCAACCTGCTCGCTGCCATGCCCAGCATGCACTTTGGCTACGCCTTCTGCATTGGCTGCACCTTTATTGCCGAGAGCGGCGTCGTCAAGGGCTTGTTCTCATGGCTGGAGAATCTGGCCATTGGCTCCTCGGGCCCGGACGACGACGACGAGGACGACGACCCGGTGGAGGCCAGACGAAGCGCCTTTGCGAGAGCCTGCATGTTTGCTTTCGGCATCTGGTACCCGACGTGGATGCTCATCACCATTGTCAGCACAGCCAACCATTACTTCCTCGATGCCTTTGCCGCCGTGTTTGTCGTCATGGCGGGCTTCATGTGCAATCGCGTATTGTGCCTCTTCCTCCCAGTCGAAGATTATCTACTGTGGATATTGCGCCTCGAGAAGCCGATTCCAACAACGGGTTGGAAGAAGAATTTGTCCGTTGAGTAACTAATCATGGAAACATTGCATCATGGGAAACGTTCGTCTGATGGGCTGAGTGAGGTCTTTATGGACCGCTCATTTTTTTTCCCTGGGTTTGGAGGCCTGCTTTCTTGGCATTTGGGGTCCGCTTGTCAGAGGGGATAGGAGACACCACGTGCGCTCTGTGTTGATCATCTCCTCGTCACCGGCTCAAACGGAGTTCGTCGGCGTTTAATTGAAGCATGGCGGGAAGGAAATACCATAGGTCATGACAGACCAGCGACGACAAAGTTTGCACTTTACAAAGCGCGCCTCGCACCTCGCTTTTCCTCCGTCTCGCGCTCTCTCTCTTTTTCTTTTTCTTCACTATATATGGGCATTCGTACGGCTGTATGAGTATATAACCCCCAGGACGGGACTTACTCCTGGGCGTCTAGCATCGAACAGATGAGTTTTTTTATTAATCAACGGGCTGGTCGGCGGAGCGCACTCGCCAAAAGCCACCCAGTAGATATGCATACCAATCATTGTATATACAGAATAGACTACCCTCTCGAAATTGAGGCGGCGCTAGTGAAGTCTTGGATCGTAATGAGGAAAGACGCCTCGGTGACCTAGATGCGCCATGGCTCACGCCCAGCGCACGGTATCCCTTTGGGTGTTTGAAGGTGCCGATTTTGTACCGAACAAGGATGTTAACCAATTAGAATCTTAATATAAGAGATATATTAATATAGTAAGAGATATAATAATATGCTAAGAGATATGTTAATATACTAGGAGATTATATAAAGCTATAGGTACTGCTTATTTCTATATATATATAAAGAAATATATTTATATAATAATTTTAACGTAATATAAAAGTATTATCTACTAGGTATCTCAGACAAAGTAGGCCCGGTACAAAATCGGCACCTTCGAACACCCAAAGGGATACTTCACTCTGAGCCAAGGACCAAACTTGGCCAAGAATTATGATTTGAAGGCGCACAAACACAGGCAGTTCAGTAAAGCGTTTGCGGCATGTCCAAAGCAGTGTTGAAGCTTAAAACAAGTCGCCTGCCGCCGCCTCGACGCCGCGCGGGAGATTGAAAAGCGGGGCGCAATGTCATCAGTCCCGTCCCAGCATGGCGTCAGCACCCCGAGCGCAACATAACTTGACCTGCTCGCCTCTTCACTCCTTTGCTCCTCGCCGTCCAAGCCCTCACCGACGGCAACATGACCCGAATCGCGTCCCTTGTTGCTCTCAGCGCGGCCGCTGCGGCGCTGCAGCTCCCTCTGCAGCGGCCGATCAACGACATTGCACCTCACTCGGGCTTCCACGCAAGACCGCTCGTCAGCTCGGGCACTCTGCAGGACAGCATCGACAAGGACAGGCTGTGGGAGCGCGCCGAGGAGCTGTATGCGCTTGCTAGGAAATCCGAGGACGAGTTCAACCACCCTACTCGCGTCATTGGGTCGGCAGGTATGCGTGCCCCTGGGCGTATGTAGTTGACGGCGCTGGTGATTTGAGTCTGACGGGGCAGCAGGACACCAGGCCACGCTCGAGTACATCAAGTCTGAGCTGGCTTCTCTCGGAAGCTATTACAATGTCTCGGAGCAGCCATTCGACGCTTATGCAGGCAGGGTGAGGGAGTTTCGCCTCGTCATTCATGACAAAGTGCCCGGTTCGACCACGGCCTTTTCGTATGTATACGCTGTCCGGGACGGGAGGGGGTGGATGGGCCGAAATTGCTGACGCTGGGTAGGCTCACGCCGCCGACAAAGAACAATGAACCCGTTTTCGGACAGTTGATTTTGGTTCGCGGCACGGGCTGCAAGGCGTCTGACTATCCTCACAAGGTCAAGGGGAATATTGCCCTGATGCAGAGGGGAACGTGTCCCTTTGGCGACAAATCGCAGCTTGCTGGAAGGGCGGGTGCCATTGCGGCCGTCATTTACAATACCGTAGATGAAGAATTGCACGGTGAGCGCTGGCGAACGCGCTCGTCGCATACACGGTGTAGTCGAGTTGTTGCTGACCGTGTCTGTAGGTACCCTGGGCAAGCCGTCGCCCGACCACATCGCCACCTTTGGGGTCAGCAGCAAAGACGCCGAGGACTGGGTGGAAAACATCCCCCGCGGGGAGATTTTCCGAGGATCGGCATACATTGACGCCACTGTCCAGACGATCAAGACGAACAACATCATTGCGCAGACAACCGAAGGCGACGCGGACAACTGCGTGATGCTAGGCGGCCACAGCGACTCTGTCGAGGAGGGCCCGGGGATCAACGACGACGGCTCTGGGTCCCTGTCCATCCTCGAAGTGGCCTCCCAGCTCGCGGCGTTCCGGGTCCAAAACTGCGTCCGCTTCGCCTGGTGGTCCGCCGAGGAGGAGGGTCTGCTGGGCTCGGAGCACTACGTCAAATCCCTCTCCGACAAGGAGAATGTCAATATCAGGCTCTTCATGGACTACGACATGATGGCCAGTCCAAATTTTGCGTATCAGGTGTACAACGCGACTGATGCGGAGAACCCGCTGGGGTCGGAGCAATTGCGCGACCTGTACACGGACTGGTACACGAGCAGCGGGCTGAACTATACCATGATCGCGTTCGACGGGCGCTCAGACTACGATCCCTTTGTCAGGGCGGGTATTCCGGCGGGCGGCATTGCCACGGTACGTGCATTCCTCTTGATTCACGGCGCCGGGCGCGATGATGTGGCAGACTAACCGGGATTCAAATGCAGGGCGCCGAGGGCGTCAAGACGCCTCTCGAGGCTGGATTATTTGGCGGCGAAGAAGGAGAGTGGTATGACAAGAATTACCATCAGATCGGCGATGATTTGAACAACTTGAACATGACGGCGTGGGAGGTGAACACCAAGGTACGTCTTCTCAAGCCCATGTGTGTGAGCAGGATGGATCTGGCTAACCGGTATAGCTTATTGCTCATTCTGTGGCGACGTATGCAGCTTCGTTTGAGGGCTTTCCCGAAAGAACGAGGGAAGTTGGTGTCGCGTCCTTCAGGAAGCCCAAATGCAATGCACTGTCGCCGCAGTTTTGTCGTTCGTAGACGGACACGACTAGATTTAGAGCCTGGGTTAGATGTCGTAATTGTTTTGTGTCCAAGTTAAAGCTGCTTAATATAATCCGTCTATTTGTAACCCCCGCTTCTGTCAATACTTGGTACGAGGTTGTGTGAGTAGTCGTTGGCCGTACATTGTGCCGTGTGCCCTGGTAGAACGCAACA